ATATTCTAGGAAGACTAACCAAAAACAAAACAAAAGAAAAACCCTAAACCCTAGGCTTTATTTATATTTAATTCTGAAATTATGTAAGTATTTAACCACATCTTCAAATAACATAAAGCAAAGTCAACAGGATGTGTCAGTCAGCTTTCTGTATCTGCAACAAGTGCCCACTGTCTGTAACCAACTGATCAAGAAAATCTTTATTTTAGAAATTTCTGTCTACTGTTAATTATCCCTCTTGTTTGGGGCCTTTGGAGTCATATCATGGTAACAGATCATAGTGAAATAAAATCAAATCACCTCATGATCTAGAAAAGAGTCAAGGAAGGATCCAGAGGTCACACCATTCCCTTTAAGGGCACTCAGCAAATGACCTATAAGTTTTATAGTTAAAAATAAAAAGAAAATATTTTAAAACTCTAAATCAAAACAAAAATATATGGGGGTGGAGAGATGAGTCAGTGGGGTAAAATTCTTGCTGTGCAAGCATAAGTGCCAGAGTTTGGATCCCTAGCACCCATGTAAAAGTGTTAGGTATGGCTGGGGATCTCTCTTGCTTTTTTACAGTGGGGGGGTGTGGGGGGGAGGAGGGGGGGGAGGAGCAAATGCCTGGAGTTCTTTGGCCAGCCACTGCCACCAAAATGATGAGCTGTAGGCTGAGTAGGAGATCCTCTCTCAAAAACTAAGGTGGAGAGTGACTGAGGAAGACATCTGACATCGACCTCTGGCCTCCACACATAGGCACAAATGTGCACTCCCACACATTGACTCACAGCAGCATATCTGCTTGCATACTAAAAGTTTGGAGTCAGCACATAACCCCCAAGACCAAGTTCTCAGAACAAAGGAGATGTATTTGCCTTGGGGCACAAAGGGCAGGGAATAGGAGACAAAGGCAGGAGATGCAAGATTAGGGAGAAGGGGAAGGGAACAAAGGAAAAGGGTAAAGGATATTTGCCTCAGGGGGGACTGACAGAAGGCAGGGAATAGGAGACAAAGGCAGGTGATAGAGGATGAGGGAGGAGGAGAAGGGAACAAGGGAAATGGGGAAAGGATATTTGCCCCGGAGGGGTAAAGGATGGAGAGGAAGCAGATGTGGCCCATAGGTGAATGGCAGTTTATTTATTTATTCTTAAAATTTGTATTATTTATTTATTGGTTTTACATCCTGACTGCAGTTCCCCCCCCTTTCTCTCTTTTCAGTCCCTCCCTTCTGCTCCCCGCTTGCCCTCCAACCTCATCCATTTCTCTGTTTCTCAAATGACAGTTTTTAAAGGGAAAAGGAGAAACCCCATGTTAGAATGAGGCATTTAGTTTTGATTTGACATGTTAACTATGCAGCCAAAGGGGCTTTTGATTGCTGGACTTCAGGACTTTGATAGCTGGACATTGGTAGTCCGCCCCAGGAGGAGGAAGTGGCCAAAATAAGGGAATAGAACTTGGGGGCCAGCTTTAGGAATGTAATCTAATGGTTTTTAGCAAGGGGGAGAAGGGTAAAAGGCAAAACCTGGTGGTGTCCTTTTTGTCATGCTCAGGCCTGCTAGAGCCCTTCATATACACCATACACATACAGGAGTTTTACAAACAGTCATATAATACAGTTACATAACTAACCAAAGAAATGAAGACTGTGTAAAGGTGTGTTCCATAATATTGGTTACCTACAGCTGTGAAACCTTGGCCAGTTGTGGTTGTGAATGCTTGTCATCTCAGCACTTGGGAAGTTATGACAGTTGGCTGAGGGATCTGTAAAGGGTTTATCCTTGGCTACATAGTGAGTTTAAGGACAGACTGCAGTACAAGAGAGTCTGTCACAAACAAATTTAAACTGTCCAATGAATGCTTGGAATGGTGACATACGTCTGTAATCCCAGCACATGGAGACGCTGAAGCAGAAAGATCATGAGGCTAGCTCGGGCTAGTTCCAGGCCTGCCTGGGCTACCTACTAGGATCTTGCTAAAAAAAAATCCAATCATTTGGGTATGTCTAAGCCAATTTGTAGTTTATTGACCTAATGAGCTGTCACGTGATCATTAAAATTATTAATTAAATGAACTATAATATTTTTGAGACAAGGTTTCTCTATGCAGCTCTGGTTATCCTGGCTTTATCACTATTAGGCCAGGCTGGTCGCGAGCTCAGAGAGATCTGCCTGCCTCTGCCTCCGGAGTGCTGGGATTAAAGACACCACCACCACTCGGCAAATGAACTATAATATTAAGTGGAAAGTTTAAACCTGTATGCTACCTATGATTACAATCACTTGAAAAATGTAAGAACAATATCAAGGAAATATAAATAAAAGCTACATTGATATCATACCACACCTTATTCAAAATGGCTATATAAGGAAAACCAAACAAACAGGGCAGACGAGATGGTTCAGTGGTTAAAAATACTTGTCATGAAAGCCTGACAACCTGACTTTGATCCTCAGACCTATGGGGAACAAAAGAACTGATGCTTACCAGGTATCCTGTAACCTCTATCGTGGTGTCATGAAGCTCACAACCACCTGTGTTTCCAGCTCCAGATGGATCTGACACTATCGTCTGGCCTCCTCAAACACCTGCACTCATGGACACATACCCACACACAGGCATAAACATACAGATTACTTAACACAAATCTTTTTTTTTTTTTTTTTTTTTTTTTTTTTTTTTTTTTTTTGGTTTCTTGAAACAAGGTCTCTCTGTGTAACCCTGGTTGTCCTGGAGCTCTGTGTCTGGTCTGAACTCACAGAGATAAGCCTGCCATCATGCCCAACACTAAAATCAATCAGTTTTTTTGTTTTGTTTTTCTAGACAGGGTTTCTCTGTGTAGACCTGGAGCCTGTCCTGGAACTTTCTCTGTAGACCAGGCTGGGCTCAAACTCACAGAGATCCGCCTGCCTCTGCCTCCCCAGTGCTGGGATTAAAGGCATCCACCCCCACCACCCGGCAATAAATCACTTCTTAAAAGTTGTAGTTTGCTGTCTGGGAGGCCAGTACAGGACTGAATCAGAACCCAGAACATGGATGTCAATTAGGAGGCCTCCGCACTCTAGGGGGCCCTGGTAGTGGATTAGTATTTTTCCCTGGTGTAAGAAGGGACTTTGAGAGCCCATCCCACGTGAAGGGATGCACTCTTGGCCTGGACACATGGGGAAGGGTCCAGGACCAGCACAGGAAGATTTGGCGGACTTTGGGGAGCCCCAGTCGAAGGCCCTACCCTGCCTGGGGAGTGGAGGGTGGATGGAGTGGGGGGCAGGCGGAGGGTTGGGGAGAGGGTGGGGGGAGGGGAGGGGGAAGGGATTGACATGTGAAGCAACCTTGTTCCTAATTTGAACTAAAAAAAAAATTAAAAAAAAAGATTTAATAAAAATTCTAATTTAGAAAGAGAAAAAAAAAGTTGTAGTTTGGGGAGTGGAAAGATGGTTCAGAAGGTAAAGGACCCTGGTTTGCTTCCCAGCACCCACATTAGTAGCTTAGCAAGGTCTGTGACTCTGGCCCCAGGGGATCTGATGCCCTCTTCTGACACACACACACACACACACACACACACACACACACACACACAGGCGGGCACTATTTAAAAGACCCAGTTCTCATAATAACTGGAAGACAGAATTAAAAAAAAAAAGTGCTGGTGAAGCTGTGGAGCTGTGGAGGAAAAGGAGCCCTTATACACTGTTGGTGGAAATGCAAATTCTGCCACTATGGAAATCATTATTGAGGTTTTCAAAAAAAAAAAAAAAAAAACTAAATGTAGAACGTGCATTTGAGCCAAGTACACCACTTCTGTGTATAACCCAAAATACAAAAGTCAATATATAGTAGTGATACATAGCCACACATTGTCACAGCTCTACTCACAATAGCAATGCTAAAGAACCTGTTAAAACCAGGCAGTGGTGGCGCACACCTTTAGTCCCAGCACTCAGGAGGCAGAGGCAGGCGGATCTCTATGAGTTTGAGCCCAGCCTGGGTCAGAATTGTTGCTCACAGAAACCTTGTCTCAAAAAACAAAAACAAAAACAAACAAACAAAAAGAACCTGTCTAGATGCCAATCCATGGATAAAGAAATGTAGTATATACACACATTGGAGTTTTATTCCCCTATAAAGAACAAAGAAATTATGTTGTTTGCAGAAAAATGGATGGAACTGAGATGATCATGTTACATAAAATAAACTATATTTAAAAAGACACATATCACCGGGTGTTGGTGTCGCATGTAAAATCTAAGAGAGGATTTTAGTAGTGAATGAGACCCTTTAACAACCAACCTGGGCATTTGAAATCCCAAGCAAAAGAAAACATTCCATTTTAAAAGTTCAATAAACAACGACATTTTGTTTAGCTATTGTAGTCTCTGGGAATATTTGATATGTTTCAGTAGCTTGGATCACAGATGAAATCAATAATTTGCTCTTATCAGGAAAGTGGATAGGTCAATTCAAAACAACATGGAGAAATATTACAGAAAACAGTCTATTTGAAAAATATCCAAAGCCGATGCTACATTCTGCCCCAGGCGTTTACAGTGCTCAGAAATGATTAGGTATGCTGTGTCATGCCTACTGTCATAAGAGATTTATTATCATTTTATTATAATTCAGAATAGGTCATTCCAAAGCCATTCCATAAAAATAACATGCTGCTAAAGAAAGGGTAATGGAGGGCGATTCAAGAATAGCCCTGTATCCTCTGAATTAATATATTTATGCTAAGCATGGCCTTTCAAATATTTTGAATGAAAAAAACAACATTGAATCAAATACGGATTAATTTGCTTCTCGTTTCTTGAACAAAACTGTATACTGCTAGATCTAGGGCATCTAATGGAAGTAATCCATTCAGGGTAAAAATCATTCCCACCTCTGGTAATACAAAAGGGCTTACAAATACATCATGTATCTGGCTAAGAAAGCATAGCAAAGACTTATTTGTGCTTGGCTGATTTTTATTTATAGACAGGGACAGAGTTGTTGAACAACTGTTGCTTTCTGTCAGTGTTTCAAAACAATGAAGAATGTTTAACATATAGGTCTTGATACCAGGCAAACAATTCCTTTTCTTCTTTTTCCAGTGTGGTGTCTGTTGGGGGTTCTTCAATTGCCACAATATCAAAAGCTGGAGAGTAGAAGATGACCTTTTTCTCCTTTGTTTGTAATCTGTCTGCTTCTGCTTCCTAGGTGGAATTACAAACAAAAATACAGTGTTTCCGGACCCCAGTCTGACAGCTGGGGAGCCAGCATAGGACCAAACCAGGCCCCTTAAATGTGGGTGTCAGTTGGGGGGCCTGGGCAATCTATGGGGCCTCTGGCAGTTGAACCAGTATTTACCCCTAGTACACAAATGGGCTTTGGGAGCCCTCTCCACATAGAGGGATAGTCTCGCAGGCTAGACACACTGGGGAGGGCCTAGGCCCTGCTCCAAATGATATGACAGACTTTGAAGCTCCCCCCCTGGAAGGCCGCATCCTCCCTGGGGAGCAGAAAGGCAATGGGATAGGGTGTTAGTGGGGCAGGGGAGGAGGGGAGGGAGAGGGAACTGGGATTGACATGTAAAACAAGCTTGTTTCTAATTTAAATAAAAATTTATTAAAAAATAAAGTGTTTCATATTTGCCTTTTACTACTTTGTATTTGTATTCTCTATTTTACTTAGCTTCACCCTCCAATTTTTTATCAGAATTAAAAATATTTTCATGTATTTATTTAATATGTGTGCATGTGAAAACACACAAGAGCCATGGCACAAGTATGAAGGTCAGAGACAACTTTTTGGGACTTGGTTCTCTCCCTCCAACATGTGGGGGTCTGGGATCAACCTCAGGTCATTAGATTTGGCAGTAAGTGCCTTTACTTGTTGAGTATCTTTCTAGCCAGGCAGAATTTTTAAAAACCACCCAGTAGTGTATCAAAACATGTTCATTATAAGTATCCCATCAGTGTGGAAGTATAGAGGCAGATTTTATATAGAATAGCATTTTATGGTTAATCAGAACCTCACCAGCCTATAGCTCCAGCTACTCAGAAGGCTAAAGTGAGTCCATCACTTGAGCCCAAAAGGAGAGGCCATCTTGGACAACAGAAAAACCCCATGTCTCAAAAATGACAGAGGTAGGGATAGAGCTGAGTGTACAGCACCTGTAAGGCGCTGCTTTCGTTTTGAGCATACACATTAGATGACTTTCATTCCAAGACAAGCACTAGCAGAGATGTGCTGGATTCAATCAGTGGAGCACGTCTTTCTTTCCTTTTTGCTGGCTTGTGCTCATGTGGAGTCCAAGCAGCAGGCGCTTAACAGAATAGCTACCAATACTGTGTAAGAATTCCTTTTGTAAAAAAACAAGGTTTAACCTTCATTTTTATTTAATGTGTATGGGTGTTTTGTCTGCTTGTGGGTCTGTGTACCATGTGCATGCAGTGACCTTGGGGGCCAGAATAGAGTTCAGATCCTCTGGGACTGGAGTCAAACATAGCTGTGAACCACAGTATGGGCACTGGGGATTGAACCAGAGTCTCCTGGAAGAGAAAGTCAGTATCTTGACCACTGAGCCATCTCTCCAGGCCACTTCCCCCACCTTTTTTTTCCCTTTTTGAAATGGTCTTGCTATACAGCTCAGGCTGGCTTTGAGCTCAGTAACATAATCTAGCTTGCGTTGAACTCACGGTCTTCCTGCCTCTGCCTCCTCAGTTCTGGAAAGAGTGTGCGGCCATGCCTGGATGTTTAAGAACCAAAAATGCAGCTGGGTATGGTGGTGCATGTTTTTAATCTCAGCTCTCAGGAGGTAGAGGCAGGTGGGTCTCGGTGAGTTCAAAACCAGCCTGGTGTATACAGACTTCCAGGTCAGCCAGGGCTATATAGTGAAACAAGAGAGAAAGAAAGAAGGAAAGAAAGGAAGGAAAGAAGAAAGAGAAAGAGAGAGAGAGAAAGGAAGAAAGAAAGAAAAAGAAGGAAAGAAAGGAAGGAAAGAAGAAAGAGAAAGAGAGAGAGAGAGAGAAAGGAAGAAAGAAAGAAAGGAAGGAAGAAAGAAAGAGAGAGAAAGAGAGAGAGAGAGAGAGAGAGAGAAAGAAAGAAAGAAAGAAAGAAAGAAAGAAAGAAAGAAAGAAAGAAAATGGGTGTTACCAGAAAGTAGGTTCATACTACCCAGGTATTTGTATGCCAAAGATGTTTCGGCCTTGAACTTGCATCTCTTTGTGCAAACAAAATTACTCATAGGCAGTTTGAAAACTGTTCAAAATAACTAATGAGTTCACTGTTAGTTGAATTTGCAGTTACCTGGGAGGAAGCCTTTTCTTCTTTAGCTGCCTTGTAGGCTTTTTTCATTTTTTCAACCTTTTTTTGTGCTTGCTTGGATCGACGGCCCAGATGTTTCATCTTACCTTGCTGTTCCCAAGGCTGGTAAAAAGGACGGACGGTTGTAATAGATGGATACCTAGAAGAGATTTGTGTTAGAGACAGAATAAAAAGAACACAAAATAAGATTTAAATGTGAAGTAAATTCTAAACTGTAAGACATTCTCTAGCACACTGAGAGACCTCAGTAAGTGGAGCAAGACTGCATGCCAGTTTTTAGGTTAAAGTAATCATTTCTATGACTTTTTCTTTTTTTGCTCTTGTTTTTCAAGACAGGGTTTCTCTGTGTAGTCCTGGCTGTCCTGGAACTCGCTCTGTAAACCAGGCTGGCCTCAAACTCACACACCCACCTGCCTCTGCCTCCTGAAAGCTGAGATTAAAAGCATGCGCCACCACACCCAGCTGCATTTTTGGTTCTTAAACATTCAGGCATGGCCGCACACTCTTTCCAGTACTGAGGAGGCAGAGGCAGGAAGATCGTGAGGTCAAGGCAAGCTGGATTATATTACTGAGCTCAATGCCAGCCTGAGCTGTATAGCAAGAGGATTTCTCAAAAGAAAAAAAAGGCAGAGAGAGCCTTGTTCTTTCCCTGGCATGTGTAAAAAAAAAAACTTGAATTTTTTTTTTTTTTTAATTTTTCACAGGGTCTCACTATGTTGCCTGGGCTGGCCTCAGTTTTTTTGAATGCCGAGATTAAAGGCACCACCATACCCAGCATGAATTTTTAAAATACCATAACTAATGCCAGAATTTACATTTCATAACAGCTGAAAAAGCAAGCTTCTTTCAGAAATTCATTTTAAGTTTAGCATACAAAGGAATGGGTTTCATGGTGAAGCTATTTATTTGTGTATGCATTTGTGTGGTTATATGTATGTGTGCATGTGTTCACATGTTTGTGGGCTCATGTGTACTGTGTATGCAAGTACTGTTTGACTGTGTTGTGAAGGCCCACGGTTGATGTCAGGTGTCTTTCTCAATTGCTGTCCAGTTTTACTTATTGAGGATAAAGAAATCTCTTCTGGATGTAGAGCTCACCATTTCTGGCTAGTCTAGCAAAGAGCTTGTCCTGAGTGCTGAGACGACAAGTGGCTACCACACCTGCCTGGCTTTTTACATGGGCTCTGGGGATCTGAACCCTGGTTCCCACACTTGTGTAGCAAGCATTTTGTCTGCTAAGCCATCTCCCCAGCCTAGTGCAGCTATTTTATTCAGTGTTGGGGTCAGATCACTCACCCTCCCCCACTTTGGCTTTACTATCACAGGGATATCCACCTGCCAGCACCTATATCATTCATTCATCCTTAGAACTATCTTTCATAACAAGAGTCCATGTGCAGAAAAGGTTAAAAACATCCAAGAATACCACCCTTGCTGGCCAGCACTTTACCAATAGCCATGGAACATTAGTGTGCCCAGTGGGATAACTGCGTTGCATGTTGTACATTGGCTCTAACATTCCCAGGAGGGATGAAGCTCCTGGTAGCCCCAGTGGTAACTGGCTTGCTAACACACAGCTTGGAGTGCTTTCCCTTCTGTTTTACTGCCCTACCCCCTCAGTAGGTCCTGGGATCACCTCCCAAATCAACTGCTCTAACTCAATTCCTGGTCTTGGGGTTTGTTTCTGGGAGATCTCAGACTAGGACTTTATCCAAAGATGCTCTTAAGAAAGTATTTTTCTTCTTCAATTGATTTAAAATTTGGCTAGCTATCTGGCTCCTAAATGACTCATTCTTGGATAATCAGTAGCATGAATCAAGGTTATATATGGCAGTGAGGAAAATGACCTCACTTATTTGACCTTGGTGGTAATAGGGTTAAGTTCTATATTCAGTGCTCATATGTATGAGTTAGAGAAAATCTATTTCATGATGATAGACTGTGCCTTGAGCCAGGCTATCTGTCTGGAAAGTGCACAGCCTTGACTATAAAATAAGAGAATTAAATTACGTTGTTGGGTCAACACCTTTCATCTCCACTCCTGAGAATCCCCAGTATGTTTGCTTGCCAGTGCATTCTTTGTAGTCTAGGAATATATCTCATCGCAAGTATATGTGTGAATATATATATATATATATACATATATATGTCCTTTTCAGCCTATCACCACTTTCTTTTTCTTAAGAAAGCCAGATTAATTTATAAATAAGATGGGCTGGGTGATTCTTATAAAGGAAATGAGAAGCAATCTAATTGGAATAATAGCATTCTGTCCCTGTTGTTTCAGACCCTAATACATATATTTTGCTACAACACAGTTGTCCAGAATATGATCTGGTTTGATTGTTATTGGTAAAGAAGGGAATAATGCCTCTGTAATTTATATACAATTGATTGTAGGCAACAGGATCCAGGAGAGAGTACAATTATGGCTTTCAACAGGAAGGCAAAAGCCTTGCATGGGCAATTGGAATCATTTCAGCTGTATTTATGAAAACAAAAATATTAACAGTGCCCGAGAGGCACTCACCACCCCCTGACACACTCTACTGTGCCCCATCACTCCCTGACCTAGTATGGCTCCCGGGTTGAACAGCTTCTTATGTTCTCTTGAAAGGAAGCCTCATGCTGGCCTGAGGCTTCTATTCCAGCAGCAGCATCTATGTCTATCTGTTCCAGTGCAAGGGTCACCAGAGTTCTTTACCACTGCACTGTTTTCACATTTACCAGTGCAGCCTCTTGGCATCCTGAGGTGGCTGCCTGGTGGCACAAGTTATCACCTCAGGACCAACTGACCTTTTTGTTAGTGTTCTGCTTACAAAGTTGCATATGTTTGGGACAATCTTCCCCAGCTCAAATTTTCCCATGTGCCTTGTGGTTATCTTTAGTGGACTATGTATCAGAAAGGGAACATTTTCAGGAATGCTTTTAGTGTTGGAACCTCAAGAATAATGGTCTTTTACCTAACTTTAGAAACAATCTCTAGCTGGTGCTGACGCATCGCTTCTGTTTGTGGCTTCTGTAACAAATACTTCATTTCTTTTTGTAAACGGTTTGAGATTACTCCAGACTCTGCATAATCAACTATGTCATACATCATCATTGTTTTGGGAATGCTTTTGAGGTTTAATCTTCGCCAGTGGTTATTCTTGCCTCCAGATGATGCAGGGGTTTCATCCAGAAGGCTGCAGTACTATATGGGGAAAAATGCAGAGAGCTCAGTTGTTGGTGCCCAACTCCAAACTCTATTGGCATCTCCCTCCTGTGACTTTCATTCCAGCTAGATGTTTCTGTTGTCTATATTCATCTTAATTCCCTTACTGGAAGGTACAGCCCATGCCATGCAGTTTCAGTTCACATGGCACCACACTCACTAAATGTTTATCTACTGCATAAACACTGGCACACACTATTTCAAAACTGATGGGTTAATCTCTCGTGCTAAGTGGAGGCTTTCATTATCTTTATTTGTAATACTTGTAGGAATCTCACTTTACTTTTTTTCCAGTTTAAAATGTTATCAAGGAAGCAATTTAAAACCATAATTTATATATTCAATTTAACATTATAAAGGATGACGAGCTATAGTGCTAGGAGTAAGGCCTTTAGGGTCTACTACAGGCTCTCAAACTTTTGTGTGCACCCACTTTCACATGCACTCGAAAGCACACATGCACACAAACACACAGGTTGTACCCATGTGACATCATGCAGAAGTGTCAGTTGCCACCATTTGGCTGAGTAGTATCAGTCTCTCAACAAGAAGCAGCCAGTTCCAAATTCTCACAATATAACTGCAAACCTTTGCATAAGGCACAGACTCTGCAGCTAGATCTTCAATTCACAGCCTACTACACCAGTGACAAGTGTGCAGTCATATTTAGTGCCAAGTCACGTCCTGGCTCTAAAAATGTCAGTGTTTGGTCACTCTGAATCCATTAATGAGTTCACATACAGATAGCAAATATGTAGTACTGTGACCTCTTTGTCTCACAATGATAAACCCATGTGCCATTTTACAAAAATGGATAATCAAAAGAGGGAGTTGTGAACTGGAGACATGGCTCAGCGGTTAAGAGCACACGCTGTTCTTGGAAAGGACCTGAGTGAGATTCCCAGCACTCACATCAGTTGGCTCACAACCACTTGGAACTCCAGCTCCAGGGGATGCTACGGCCTCTTCTGGCCTTCTTGGACACCTGCATATGTGTGCATGCAGTCTTGCCCCATACACACGATTAAAATAAAAATAAATCTTGTTTTTCAAAGATAGACTTGGCCAGCAAAGAAACCAAATGTGGTATCACTGGAAGTGAGGCTGGAATCCAGTGTAAAGTGAGTTGTAGAAGCATCAGGTGGCTATACAAGGTAGCACTTTAAGAAACTGGAAGTGTATAGCTAGAGGGATTTGGTGAAGGTGAGCGTACCTGCATAAGTGGGCTTGACAAGAAAAAACTTCACATTATGAGAAATCTAACATACTTCGCAGCATATAAAATATGAAGACTAAAACGTCAGCATCCGATTCAAACTTAGGAGTGTGACAAGTAACAGAGACACAGCAAAGACAGTTTGGTCCCCAATGTAACTCATGTGAGAACAAGGCCGGCATTCTTCCAAGGTCTCTTTTGGCAGGGGGTGGACTGAGGGCGGAACTTAGGGCCGTGTGCATGCTAGGCTAGTTCTCTGCCCCTCAACCTTACATTTTAAAACATTTGATAGAGTCTTGATAAGTTACTTAGGCTGGGCTCGCACTTATTCTGTACCTGAGGCAGGCTTTGAACTTGTGATCCTCCTGCATCAGTTTCCTGAGCCACAGGTTTCATATTATTCTTCATTATGCTTTTTTCCCCATAGCTTTTCTTTGTTTTGCCTGTGGTAGGGAACTAACTCAAGGCACCATACCATCGAGTTACACTCCCAATCTGTTACACTCACAACTTTATCGAGATTGATATATCATATACTTCACCCATTGGTTTTTAGTGTTTACACAGCTGATTATTTTTTTAACCAAGAGATAAAACTTTCACTCTCAATGTATTAAATAATACTGCACTAAATGTTTTTCATTTCTATTATAAGAGAGCTTTTTTTTTTCTTTTTCGAGACAGGCTTTCTCTGTGAAGCTTTGGAGCCTATCCTGACTCTCGCTCTGGAGACCAGGCTGTCCTTGAACTCACGGAGATCCACCTGCCTCTGTCTTCCAAGTGCTGGGGTTAAAGGTATGTGCCACCACTGCCTGGCTGTAAAAGAGTTTTTAATGTTTGGTTTTAAGACTGGATCTGGGGCACACTATGCAGCCCAGGCTGGCCTCAAACTTGAAATCCTCTTTGCCTCAACTTTCTGAGTGCTGAGGTTACAACCAAGTACCAGCATATCCAGCTGTTTTTAATGTGCCAATCAATTTTCTCTACTGATCACTGTTTGCTTTGCATGGGGCTGGGGACATAGCTTAGGGGTAGAGTGCTTGCCTATCATGCAAGGGACCTGGGTTCAAGCTCCCATGCTGAAAAAAAAAAAAAGGTCCACACACATTGGAAAACAAACAGCAAGGAGTGGTGGCACAAGCCTGTAGTCCCTACTCTTGGAATGTGGTGAATGGAAGATTAGGAGTTCATGAGGCCATCCTCTCTCTGGCTATATAGCAAATCTGAGGTCAGCCTGGGCTACGTGAGATCTTGTCTCAAAACAATAAAAAAGTGAAATGTGCTTTGTACAGTTTTAGCTCGTATCATCCATTCTTTTAGTCCCACACTACCTGCATAGTGAGAATGCCTGTTACTTTATTTCCCAGGAGTGCAGTGGCACAATCAGTAAATGTCTCGGACCTGTCACTGATCTCCTTTGCCACTCATTCACTTTGTGACCTTGGGTGAGCTTTTGGACCTTGTTAAAGCTTCATTTTTTCTCATCCATAAAGAGAGTTGCAGGATTTACAAACTTAAAGATGAAAGGAAATGATATACCAGGGAAGATCTTTAAAAATGCTATTCACTCCCACAAATAATCTTATCTCTCTTTTCCCAGTGTAAATATTTGGGGCCTTTTCTCTGTGACCCCAATCCTTGACATATTCACAACCTGTGAGTTTGTGACTCATGTCCTTAGCAAAGATGGTTGGCATCCCCAGCTTCAGTTACTTTCTGATCAAATTCCTGAGTCTCATAGGCTAAGTCTCTAAAAGAAACAAAACACAACCAAGAATCTCTAAGGCTCTGCGTTAACTTCATATGTCAAAGTGAGGCACATACATTATTATGAAGAAGGTAAGGTCACACACATTATTATTATTATTACTATTATTATTATTACATTAGGAATCTGAATATTGGCAATTTTTCATCAATGTTTGCCTGTTTGGATTGTTAATAGAAAAATGGGAGGGACTGTTATAAAAGCATTTATTATTATTATGTATTATTATTATTATTATTATTCAGGTGTGCTGCTTAAATGCACCAGTTCAGCATTGCTCTGTCTAGCTATGCAAACCAGAAATCCAGGAGTCATGTCAGACATATTCCTTCAGTTTCTCTCCCTATCTGTCACCAAGGCCCACTGCCTTTACTCTCTCTCCTGCATCTGTAGACATCCATCCTTAAACTGAGCAACCACCATTTCCCCAGGAGTATCAAGAGCCTTTGAACAGAACTTTTGTTGCTTTCTCATTCTTTCTGTATCCTGCAACCAGAGGCAGCTCCTCATTCATTAGCTTAAAAAATCACATTGTGTTCAGTGTGTGTGTGTGTGTGTATGTGTGTGTGTGTGCGTGAGGAGAGCACTTATGTGAAGTCAGAGGTCAGAAGATGTCTTTGTGGAGTTGGTTCTCTCCTTCTACCATGTGGGACTCAGGATTTTAAGTTTGCTGTCAGAAATTTTACCTGCTCGGCCATCTATCTTGTCGGTCTCAAATTGGTAACTTTTTCTTTCTTTTTTCAAAAAAGATTTTAATTTTATTTTCTCTCCCTCCCCAGTATGTATGTATGTATGTATGTATGTATGTATGTATGTATGTATGCCTGAGCATGTGTATGCTGTACCCCCAGAGGCCAGAAGAAGGCACTGGATCCTCTGAGGCTGGTGCTACAAGTGGTTGTGAACTGTGTGATGTGGGTGCTGGGAACTGAACTCAGGTCCTCAGGAAGCACAGCAAGTACTCTTAACTTTTGGGCTATCTCTCTAGTGCCGCCCCATGCGATCTAATTTTTATTTTATGTGTATTGGTGTGAGGATGTCAGATCCTCTGGAACTGGAGTTTTGACAGGTATGAGAGCTGTCATGTGGGTGCTGGGAATTGAACCTGGGTCCTCAAGAAGAGCAGCCAGTGCTCTTAACCATTGAGCCATCTCTCCAGCCCCCAAAATGGTTAATTTTATGTTGTGTGTATTTTACCACCACCACAACAAAAAATATGAGCTGGGTGGTGGTGGCACCTGCCTTTAATACCAGCCCTCAGGAGGCAGACACAGGCAGATCTCTGTGAGTTTGAGGCCAGCCTGGTCTACAGGACTGCCAAGGCTACACACAGAAACCCTGTCTTAAAAAAAACAAAATAAAAATTATGATTCTCTCTTGTTGGAGGATAGGATCTGGCAAGCCTTAATTTTTTTTAACATCTATATCTAAATTCCTTACTTGCATGTAATCTTGCGCTGTGACAATATCCATGGGGTCAGCTACTTTGAATTTCTGGAAACAATGCTCATCTTCCATAATTTGTTGACAAAATTTCCTTTCCCCCATTATCTTGCAAGCATCAGCCACTGCCTTTAAAGAAAGTAGATTTTCAAAATAATATATTTTTAATCACTGCCACAAATACTGTTCCTGTCTTTTATGAACTTGCTATTAATAGAAAGGCTACATTTACATAAAGGGAATTATATAGCTGCTTTTTGGGAGGAGGAGGGGAAGGAGTTAAATAAGGTATTACTTTGTAGTCCAGGTTGGTCAAGCACTTACTAGTAAGCCTCCTGCCTCAGCTCCCTCAATGCTGGGGCTACAGGCATGAGCCACCACGCCTAGCTATATAGGGATTTGTTTTGAGACATGGCTGGCCTTCAACTTGCTAAGTAGTCAAGGATGAATTTATACTTCTTCTTGCTTCCACCTCTCAAATGCTGGGATTACAGGGGTGGATCTCCATGTCTGGTTTCTATAGGGATTTTAAAACCATTTGAAATTTGCCACTATAGACACTGATGCACAGTTTAAAAATAAAACTAAAGGTGTAGCTGAGTCTACAGTCCTCAAGGAAGCATAGTTTTTTAATTTTGAAAAGGTTTTAATTTGGGCCTGGAGACACAGTTCAGCAACTAAGAGCACTTGTTACTCTTCCAGAGCACTCACGCAATGGCTAACAACCACGGTTACTCCCATTCCAGGGCAATCTGATGCCTTCTTCTTGCCTCTGTGGGCACTGCACACATGTGATAGACATGCAAACAATACACAGCACAACATAAAATTTGTTTTGAAATCTTAAAAAAAGATTTTATTTTTATATTTGATGATGTGTATATGCATGTGAATCTGAGCATCTGGATACAGAGCCCAAGGAGGCAAGAAGAGGGCACCAGATCTCCTGGAATTGTAGTCAGTCCATTGTGAGCTGCCTGATGTGCATGCTGGGAACTGAACTAGTGGCCTCCTCAGGAACAGTTTGTGCTCTTCACCACTAAGCTTGCTCTCCAGCCTGAGCCATAGTTTTAAAGATATTTTTTTTCTTTTAAAAAACGTTCTTTTCAGCCAGGGGGTGGTGGCGCACGCTTTTAATCCCAGAATTTAGGAGGCAGAGGCAGGTGGATCTCTGTGAGTTCGAGGCCTATAGAGGCAATGGGCAAGTTTCAGGACAGCTAAGTCTACACAGAGAAACCCTGCCTCCAAACCAAACTGTTCTTTTCATTTAAATGAAAACAAAAGAATACCATAATCTAACTTGTGCTGTCAGTGAAAAGAAACTCACCTGCGGTTAAACAGGGTGCCTTGGGAACTAGAATACAATGTGTTGTTGGAACTGACACTCTTTTCTGTTAGTTAACCCATTGCTTCCCAACAGAAAAGTGGAGGTGTCAGGTTGCTTACACCTCCCTTTCCTTTAGATTTCATTCTCCATAGCCAAAGAAAAGCAAATTAAGGATTTTTCTTTCTTTCTAAAATGTCAACAGTTTACATTCAAGGAAAATGTCTGGGAGACCAGCGAGAGAGAAAACACAGTGGTGGAAGTTCTTTGTCTTGCCTCTAGGTATACCACACCCTCCCACATATATCTATCTTGCTAATAGCTCTCTCCATGCTGGGAGAGTTAAATACTCCCACGCTGCCGTAAACATGTGCTGAATCATCTAACACCATTTATAATATGGATTGGTGCTTCTGGCCACAAAGGGTCTGCTTATGTGGAGGGAGGCTGGCAGAGAAGCAAATCCAAATCTCTTTCTATTCCAGATCAATTGTTTCCTCTGGACCCCAGAATGTGCTACTGGGAGAGTATGCAGAGAGATCTGTCAGAGCGAACGCCCAGAGCTTCTGTTCTTTTCATTTAAAGCACAACACAATAACTCGCCTTCACATATTTTCCTCTCTAATCCTAATTTTATTATCCAGAATAGTCCTTTTTTATTTTGTTTTGAATTCCAAAGCTTTGATGGTGCACATGGAAAATGGAACGGGAAGAAAATAGACAGGAGTTTCTCTTTGTAGCGCTGGCTGTCCTGGAACTCACTCTGTAGAGCAGGCTGGAGATCCGAATGCCTCTGCCTCTTGAATGTGGGATTAAAGGAGTGTGTCACCAACGCCCGGCTTCAAATTCTAGCTTTTCCCACAGACGAAGTGAGAACAGCATTTCTCTTGACACTGAATGGAAGGAGGGCCATGTTCGAGAACAAGTACAGTATCATCCCTTACCTCCTGGTGGTTAAGAATATGGACCCTGGTCTCAGTTCTTTCACTCTCCAGTTCTGAGATTTTAAGCGAGTTACTTGGTTATTTATTTATTTATTGTGTGATTTAATTTTTTCATTATTAGGCCTTATGGCATTTTTTATACATATATATTTCCCTCCTATTCCTGATGGTACCTTTCCTCTTCCCATTAGTCTCCTTTCTACTTTCAGATTCATTTTTTTAAGAGTGAGGATAGACTAACAAAACATACAGACTAGTTTTATGGGAGTGAAATGACATAATGCACATTTGACATTACAGGTAATAGAAATTGATCAAGATGGGCCAGAGGGGCTAGAGAGGTGGCTCGATTGGTAAAGTGTTTGCTGCCTAAGTGTGAGGGCCCGAGTTCTGATCACCAGCACCCATGTAAGAAATATCACAGTGTTCATTGTGATATACATCTGAAACCCCAGGGCTGTGGGACAGAGACAGGCAGATCCCTGAATCTTACTGGCTAGCCAGCTTAGTTAAATTGGTGTGCCTCATGCTCAATGAGGGATTCTGTCTCAAAAAACAAGATGGAAAATGAATGGGGAAGACACTCGACGTTAATCTCCAGAGTTCGTACTCTCAAAGTGATCAAGCAGGACTGACAAATACAGCAAGGTTGGTAGAATGCTTGCCTAGCAAGAGTTTGATCCTCGGAATTTACTGTACAAATCAGATAAGATGGTGTTCACCTGTATTAATAAGTATAGGGAAGTAGACGTTCAAGTTTAACTGCATGAGTTCGCGGTCAGCCTAGTATATTTGAATCTTGACACACTGTGGGGAAAAGAGCAGAAAGGGGAGAGAGAGGGGAGGGTGACAAAAAGAGAGAATAATCAAGTAACAAGGGTGGCTATTAATGTTTTTCTTATATGAATAAAGTTTAAAAGGACAGGTATTTTTCAATATAAAATAACAGTTGCTAGATGCCAACAGTTAAGGCTCTTCAGTTGGATCCATGGGATCCTTTTGTGGCCTTTAAGTGTAGTAACTTTTTTTTTTTTTTTTTGGTTTTTCAAGACAGGGTTTCTCTGTTCTCTGTGTAGCTTTGGAGCCTATCCTGGCACTCACTCTGGAGACCAGGCTGGCCTCAAACTCACAGAGATCCACCTGCCTCTGCCTCCCGAGGGCTGGGATTAAAGGCGTGCACCACCAATGCCCGGCCCGTGTAGTAACTTTTAAAGATTTATATATTATATATGCATGTATGCCTGCAGGCCAGAAAAGGGCACCAGATCTCATTACAGATGATTGTGAGGCATCATGAGGTTTCTGGGAATTGAACTCAGGACCTCTCAAAGAGCAGCCAGCTCCCTTAACCGCTGAGCCATCTCTCCAGCCCCCTCATTTTATTCTTTAATTGTGTGTGCACATGTGCATATGCATGCAGGTGCCCAAGGAGGCCAGCAAGGACACAAAATCCTCCAAAGCTGGAGTTACAGGTGGTTGGAGCCATCTGATATGGGTGCTGAGAACTAAAATTGGGCTCTCGGGTAGTGCACACTTTTGATTGTTCAGCCATCTCTCCAGCTCCAAGGCTCTACATTTTAAAATGGTCCAGTGGATGCCAGTGTGTAAGGCTGCACATGCTTTGGGTAGCAAGGTTGTAGAAAATTCTCTGGTGGACCAACAATAATGACAACCTCTTGTAAATTACCAATGCTGAGAAAATAGATTGTCAATGTAGGAAATGAAACAAGAGAACACACACACACACACACACACACCCCCACACCCATCATTATTCTATTGTTCTACAACAGAGGTTCTCAGCCTGTAGGTTTCAATCCTTTGGGGGGTGGTCAGAGGGTCCTTTAATGGAGGTCTCCTAAGACCACTGGAAAACATATTTACATTACATATGTGTTTGTATACGATTCATAACAGTAGCAAAATTACAGTTATGAAGTAGAAATGAAAATAATTTTATGGTTGGGGTCACCACAGCATGCAGAACTGAATTAAAGGCTTGCAGCATTGGGAAGGTTGAGAACCACTGTTCTAGAACCATTTGACCTGCCTTGGCACTTTTAGAGAAAATACTGATAATCTCTAGATAGATGTATTTCTATTTTTTCCCAGTGGATTCTGTCTTTATGCCACCATTCTACAGTTTTAATTACAGTAGCTTTGTAAGTCTTGAAATTGGGTAGGAAAAATTGTCCAACTTCCTTTTTTCCTTCCCTTTCACTTGCTTTGCTTTTTGTTTTTGTGAATACATGAGAGATACAGCTAGAAAATGACAAGGAAATGCAAAAAGAAACGGAAATATGGAGGGGAACGATGGAGCAAAAATATGTTAAATTCCTCTTCTTTAAAAGTGAAATTAGTAGGACTGGAGAGATGGCTCAGCAGTTATGAGCACAGGATGCTCCTCCGGGGTACCTGGGTTCAATTCTCATCACCCACCTAGAGGTTCATGACAGTCTGTAACTGCAGTCCCAGGGGATTTTTCTGACCTCCTCAGGCACCAGGCATGCATGTGGTGCACAGACGTGCAGGCAAAACATTCATACACTTAAAAAATAATAAAAATATTTTCAAAGATAAGTGAATTTAGACTAGATATCTGAACAAACTAAAACTGGCCCACTTCTATAAAGAAACAAATGAAGGTCTAGAAAGATGGCTTATCAGTTAAGAGCACTGATTTCTCTTACAGAGTATATAGGTTTGATTCCCAGCCCTCACATAGTGGCTCACAACCATTCCTAATTCCATTTTCCAAGGGACCTTACATCCTTCTCTGGCACCAGACTCGAATGTGGCACACAGACATACATGCAGACAAAACACCATTTGCATAATAAAAGAATAAATGAGCCAGGTGGTGGTGGCACATGGCTTTAATCCCAGCACATGGGAGGCAGAGGCAGGCGGATCTCTGTGAGTTCAAGGCCAGCCTGGTCTACAAATTGAGTTCCAGGATAGCTACGGGTTGATACACAGAGAAATCCTGTCTCAAAACAACAAACAAACAAACAGAATAAATGAATTTAGGGCTAGGGATGTAGCTCATTTGTGCTTACCTAGTATACGTGAAGCCCAGGGTTTGATCCCCAACACTGCATAAACTATGCTTTTCTGCACACCTGTAATCCTAGCACTCTGGAGGTGGAGACATTGCGATCAGAAGTTAAAGAGGTAAGAGTTGGGTGTGGTGATGCATGTCTTTGATTCCAGAGCTCTGGAGGGAGAAGTGGGCAGATCCCTGGGAGTTTGAGGCCAGCCTGGTATACGTAGTGAGTTCTAGGACAGTCAGGGCTACATAGAGAGACCCTGTCTCAAACAAACAAACACCAAAAAGAAGTAAGCAAGCAGAATAGTTGGATCAATTTGCTAACAAAACTTTTATTCAAAGAGCAAAAATGTAAACTTAGAATGGGAAAAATCCCACCATTGCACTTTTTTTTTCAACCATGACTTTACATATTAGCCAAGTTTGTTTTGAAAAGGAACGAAAGGACAAGGGCAGTCCAAACTGTTCTCTTCAACTTGGGTATGCTCTGATCATTAAAAGACCATTATAGTGTTCACTGAAAAAGTCAGGCTGAGTAGTATGATAACATCTTAATAACAAGAACAAACAGAATTATAAAATCTCGTTTCATGAGGAAAACGAAGGCAACTTAAGGAACTATTAGGGCTGATTACTCCAGGGGAGTGACAGCTGCAGCACATTAGGGACAGGCATCACAGTGCATTTTTCTTTGGCATAGTTTGTAGATCATTATTAACATTGGAACTTATCTTTAAAACATATTTATAAGACATTAAAGAACATGTATGTGCAACAAAGTTTTCTTCACGATGGCTCTCACTGATGCATTTGATAGTCAAGAGCTCCCTTCTGAGGTCAGGTTGAAGATATAGGTCCTAAAGTTCATACAGACCTCCCACTAACATAGACACTTGGATGCCAAACAGGCTAATTAGGGTTTTCTACTTACATGTGAATAAACACATGTACATGCCAACTCAAGTTCTTACAGACTTCATGTAAGACCCCAGTAAATTCCATTTGAAGTCCAGTTTATATGATCTGAGGGTTGTCTGTGTCTGTTGCTCAGTTGACAGTATTCTACCAGTTCATACAATTTACTGTTCCAAAGACCCTAAACAACTGGCTCAGTCAGCTTCCTGTGCTCTCTTCTTCATTCACCAGTCCTCTAAGTCCCTCTGAGGCTGGAGACAGAGTCATTTTTCATGTGGTCTTCTCATTTCCTCTCCTCGAAGGAGGAGGGTGGACGGGCCCTTATGACGATGTTCAGTGGGACCCTGGGGTATGGTCCCTCAGACTGCTTCAGGGAGGCTGAGAACTTGTCAGAAGATCCTTTCTTTTCAGGAGGATGGGATGAAGAAGCTTCCAAGATCCTGGAGCTCCAGCAGTCATTTCTCAATCTAGTGAAGACCATTCGGAGTGGTTGGACTGGAGCGTGACTGGGCAATGGATGACGGGACTCAATGAAAGGCTGTGTGAAATTCAGGAGAGCTCTGTTGCGTGGAGGCTGTTGTTCAACACTGGTCACTTGAGGTAGCCCTTTTGATTCAACTTGACTGATACTAGAACGTGGCACAACACGGAACGCCTCCAACGCAGGCTTCTCAGTGATCTTCTGAGGTCTCTGGTAGGTGCTTATGCGCTGCTTCTTTGGAGGATTTTGGATAACCTGGGTGAGGAGCTGAGCTGGTGGCTGGGTGAAGGCAGCCGGGGGAACCTGATGGAAGCAATGCTCTGTGCTTTGGTCTGTTGGATTCCCACTGGAAGTGGAGTGCTCATCACTGTGCCCAACTGCTGGTTTTGGCATGTTAGGGACCTCCAAGGTAATATTAGGCTTTTCTGTGGAAGGTGCTGTGTGGCACACATGTTCCCCGTCAGATTTCTTGAGTGATGGCAGACTAGTTTCAGTGGACTTCAGGGATGATCTCTTGTTTATATGGATGAATGATGGCCTGCTCGGACGCCTCAGATAGTCACCAGAATGTGTGGTATCCTTCCAACTCTGTGGCTTCTTCTCTGGGGGTTTCTTGGGAAATTTGAGCACGAGAGCCTTCCTCCGCTGCTCTAATCTTTCTCTCTCTATTTTCTCTTCCTCTGTCTCACACACTGGCTCAGTGCTCTGAAGATTCTTTGGCTTTTGTGGGTCCTGGTTCTCCTTTTCCTTCTTTATGCCCAAGGGCAGTGGTACCTTGGCACCATCCCAGGACTTGATAGGGCACTTCTTGCTTCTCATGGTGTGTCCAAAGGCCCCACAGTTTTTGCATTTCATTCTGGGATTCTCTTCTCTTGGGAAAACTCTCCTCTCCCTTGGTTTTCTCCGATTCTCTAAATTCTGAAATTCAATGTCTGTGTCACTATCTACCCATCGAGCCATCTTTTTAAAGTCCTGTCAGTCTTCCTCAGGTGTTGATTTGGAATTTCCTGAAACCCAGCTGTCTTCCTCCTGTCTGTTAGCAGGTTCTCAGACAGGTGGATGATGGAGACACAGCAAGGAATAGGATGAAGCTTTCAGGATGCTGGAGGAAAGGGAAGTCACATTTTCTTTTTATATCACTGGGCTATTTCCTCCCCTCCAACATTTACTTCATAAATAAAAATTGAGGTTATTAGACAATGTTTCAGTGAGTTTTAATAAATAAATACTGTTTTCCCCTGACTTCTTCCTTCTGAGATTCCCATTTTCTTAAGACTAAGAACAGGGACAATAGAACAGACCCAGGAGAATTTCAGTTCCTGGAAAAGTCCGATTATACATTCTTAGAATAGAAACCATAGATAGTAAGATATAGAAACAACCTCAGCTTATGATGAACATGACATGAATTTATCCCTCAACAGTAAGATGAAAATATACTTCTCACGCCGGTGACACACGCCTTTAATCCCAGCACTCAGGAGGCAGAGGCAGGCAGATCTCTGTGAGTTCCAGGTCAGCCTGGTTTACAGAGTGAGTTCCAGGACAGCCAGGGATACACAGAGAAATCCTGTCTCAATAAACCAATACATTATTATATACTATTTAATATACATATATATAGCTTTTAAGACTCGCTCCGTAGACCAGGCTGGCCTCTAACTCAGAGATCATTCCTGCCCCTGCCTCCCCAGAATTTAAAATTTTAACACAAAGAAAATGGAGATTTTTTTTTCCAGAGCCTCATATAAGTAATACATTTCAAATTTGTTGTAGTGGAGACAGTTTGAAATATGGTTCTCAGGGAAAGGCTTGATGGGCTGACTAATGGCCTGTATACTTGGAATGCAATTTAGATATCACACAGATGTTAAGAAGCAATATTAATATAAATTAATATAAAACATCCATCATGAAACATCACCTTACTTGACGGCTTTAGTAAATCTTTCCCACTGAAATACTTGTAACCATGGCCATCATTTTTAAAAAAAATTTTGAACACGATAAAAGGTGGAAACGTTTCACCACCAAATCTGAAATAAAGATAAAAAATTAGTGATATGGCATCGATTGTGGGGCTCTATTGCTTCTTCCTCATGTACCTAGAAGAGCTCATACAGTTTTTCAAATATAGGGAACATAAAGAACATATAGAGATCTAGCAAAGAAATGGATCCAAAGGTGAAAGTCACAACTATTCTCATACTTGTGGACACAATGGGGGTGAGGCCTCATGTCAATTTATAGCCAGAGTCATGCCTTAGCCTATGCAAAACCATAACAAATGTAAACAGGGAAATGCTTACCTTTGAATTTTGTCCTGAGAAATAATCAGTATCAAAGAAAGCATTTCTATTATTTCTCCTATGAAATAAATCAGCTAGTTACATTACCTGAATCTGACTTTACACTTCATGCTAGGATCTTTAACAAGTGCAGCTTCTATGGGGCTTACTTTCTTCAGTAGTTCATGTGCCACACAATATTCCTGAAATAAATGATGTCACTGTAAACAGAAAGTAGTATCCTGCAAGATGTCATTTACTGATTACAAGAATGGAAGCGGCCTGGTGGTGGTGGCGCACACCTTTAACCCCAGCACTCAGGAGGCAGAGGCAGGTGGATCTCTGTGAGTTCAAGGCCAGCCTGGTCTATAGAGTGAGTTACACAGAGAAACCCTGTCTCGGAAAACAAAACAAAACACAGCAAAACAAACAAAACAAAAACAAAAAGAATGGAAGCATAGTGAAATGATCAGTACCCTGGGCTCAGGGTTCTAAAGAGGTGGATTTCTATTCTTGACTCCTCCATTTATCATCTATGTAGCCTTTCTTCTGTTATTTCCACCCAGGGGTCTCCAAGTTTGAGTATCCATGTCTTTTGAGATCACAGGCATTTTGAGATCCCTATGATAATACTTTCCCTTAATTTATTGCATTTATCTATAGATTTATCTGTGTCTCCAACTAGATTAGAAGCATCATGAAGGTAGAGACAACATCTTTCTTCTTTATTATATTCCTAGCATCTAATACAGTACTAAAACACACAAGAAACTTAAAAGTGTTTAATGTTGAATGAATCATGGTAATATGGGGATGATAATGGTATTAAGTGACTAGCTTTTAGACACCTTTTATTTACCATGTAATATGGTGGTATCATTCATATATATATATATATATATATCCTCATTTAATCCTAACAGCAACACAAGCAGAATATTATTACTCTCATTTTATAAATGAGAAAGCTAGGTCTCAAACATAGATCTGATATATGAGACCACTGACAGTGGTTCCAAGATTTAACTCTAATGCACAAACTGATTTAGTGGAGCCCATTCCATATGGGGAGATACCTTGCTCAGCCTAGACACAGGGGTGTGGGGATTGGGAGGTGCCTTGATCCTGCCTCCACCAGATGATGGGATAGACTTAATAAACATCCTAGGAGAGGCCTTACTTTCTCCGAGGAGCAGATGGGGGGGTGACAGTGGGGGGGGGAAGAGAGGAGTGACAGGGAACTGGAATTGGAATGTAAAAAGTAAATTAATAAAGACTCAAAAAATCCATTAGATATGTTTGTCTCTAAAATTTCCATTCTTTTCTTTAAATGGCCCTATTCAATTTTATGCCTGTGACGATTCCATAAAATGTACAATAATAGGCTGGCCTAGAACTCAGAGGTCTCCCTGCCTCTGCCTCTAGAGGACTGGGATTACAGGCATGGGCCACCACCACCTGGCTAAAATAAAGCATTATTAATTTGAAGCAAATTGGAACAAAGATGTAAAAATAACTGATTGACTTCATTTATTTACCGAGAGCCAAAAATGATGAGGAAAGCAGTAACATGATAATTAAAAATGAGTTTTGTATGATAATACAAATCTGTCTGTGGGTCAGAAAATGAAGAATACATATTGCTCAGACTCTAGTGAGACTATTCTGATAGCAGACTACTTTAAACAAGGCTTAATACTCTGCTGGAGTTTCCAGGATTTTTTTTTTCTTCTGGGAAGGAGGATGGGTATCTGTTTGCCGTTTTTATTCAAATAGGATTATATTCCTCATATTGTTCTGACTTGTCCTTTTCACTATCAAGCTATCTTGGTTATCTTTCTATTGTAGAATCATGGTAATATTGCAAGCTTTACCCATGAAGACAGATAGTTGAGTCTATGAACAGTTACTTGAGTCTATGAATCAACGCTGCAATGAAATTACACTGGAGAATGCACTCTTAGCAGTGAAACTGCTGGAGATTACTCAGTGGTTAACAGCATGTACTGTTTTGGCAGAGGACCTCGGTTTGGTTCTCAGCACTCACATGGTGGCTCACAATTGCTTGTAACTCCAGTTCCAGGGGATCTTATGCTCTATCATAACCTCTGTAGGCTCCTGCACGCACATGGTGCACATAAACTCACCCAGGCTCACATATATACACATGTATAAAAAATAAATCCTTTCTAAAAAAGAAGTGAAACTGCTGGGTAAAAGAAAAGTGCATTTTTAAATTCAGGGATTTTTTTTCGGTAGTGTTGGGGATCAAACCCAGAGCCTCAAACATGTTGAATACACATTCTACAACTGAACTACACCCCTAGTTCTTCTTTTTTTCTGAGACAGGGTTTCTCTGTAGCTCTGGCTGTTCTGAAACTTGCTCTGTAGACCAGGCTGGCCTCAAAATGGAGATTTGCCTGCCTCTGTCTCCAGAGTGTAGGGATTAAAGGTGTAACACCACCACCACCTGGCTTGCACCCCCATTTCTTAATTCAGAGATTATTACTGTTAGAAGATGACTGTCTCCTATTTTCAAATAAGGACACAAATTCAAAAACTGAAACACAACTGCATTAATTTCAGAAAAATAGTAATTCTCATTCATATTAAGACTAAAGCCAGAGGGCTAGAGAGATGGCTCAGTGCACACATACACTTGAAGGCATGTGTACACATAAATAAGATAAAAATAAATAAATCTAAAAAACAACCAGAAATATTCATTCATTAAGATTAACAAAAGAAGCAATTTTAGAACTTGACATAATATTACTATATCTAAGTCAAAGAGATAAAGAGGGTTATTTGCTCTCTCTTTAATTAACAGGACTTTTAACTAGTTAAGGAATAACATTTGTCAGAGAAAAAAATACATACCGCTGCACAAACTGTGTGTTTTAGGAGTTTAAACAATGTTTTGTCCACATAAATGAACCAGGCTTTCTGTATTTTTGTTGCTGAAATCTCTCTATTAATCATAAGAGGAAAAAGACGTTAGCGATTTATGAAGTTACTTTTCATTTTCTTGAAATCTTAGACAACTCTCAATTTATGCATTCTCTTATATTTCCCCATTACTAAGACTGACCTACTGAGGAACATTTGGATGGAGTAATTGGAACTAGTCTTTGTAGTCTCTAATCAGAATGAGGATATGGAATAATTACTATTTCCTCTGAGATAAAAAATTCTCCTAAACCTTTATCAAGACACATATATAAAGCCAGACATGGTGGCATATTCTTATAATCCCTGCACTTAGCAGGTGGAGGCAGGAGGATCAAGAGTTCAAGACCAGCTTTGACTACACAGTGAATTTGGGTTGAGGGTACAGTCCTG